TATATTTAGAATTGTACTCAACAAATTTTAGATATTTATATACCCAATATTTTGTACATAGACCTTGTAGTAACGGTATTTTCGGTCATTAGGAGGGGTGCGATATGATCTATCTATGGTTGTGACATCACCCGCATGGAGCATTAATGCCACTAGTGTACTCCACGTAGGTGATTTCACTTAATTTTTAGAGACTTGCAATATCTAACATGGAGATCATGAATATGAAAAAATAAGTAAATTTAAAAACTAAAAATAATAATTCCAGTAAGAAAATATTTGGACAGTAAGGTTCCACTGTTTCTAGATTAAATTCATACTTGCATCCATTTTTAAGATGTGGATGCTTTACACTTTTTGGACCGCATATGTAGTCATGCTGTCCAGCCCTCATGAAACAATTTTCCTTTATAATTAGGTTGAAAATAGATTTCTCGAAAACATGGTCCACTCGCCCAGTCAAACCAGAAAAACAATAATGAACGGTTGCCACTAAGAATGAATACATTATTGTCATGCATCAAAATTTTTGAAGTATCTCCCCCTTTAGAGAAAACTAGCATTATCCTCTATAATGAGATGCTAAGGTGTTGTACACAGAATGTATTCAACTAGCTCCTCTTATTCTTTGAGCAGTAGTAGGAATGGAGTGTCACGATAAAATAGGTTTAGGAAACACACAAGGCTAAATGAATTCATACATGAAGTTAACCAGTGCTCGAAAAATCGAACCGGCCTAAGCCGATTCCGAGTAACAGGTAAACATGCCAGTTCAACTGGCCCAATCAAGCTGGTCCTGGTAAATCAAAAAGTATTAAAAAAAATTAAAAAACACAAAACAATATGAAAAAATATTTAAAACATAATTAGACAAAGCACATCCAAATGAAGTTGAAAATTAGTGAAAAGAATGGATTTCAAAAAATCGAGTTTTGCCCGATAGGTATTTTTGAAATTTTTCAAAAAGATGGGAAAAATGTATAAATGTATAAATAAGTATTCATGACCAAAACACTTTCAATATTTTCTAAAATGATAAAAATACATTACAAATAAATCTCTTATTTTTTAGGATTTTATATTAATTTTATATTTTTTTTTAATTTCCCGTTCGGACCACCGAAACTGGCCAAAACCACATCGGCTAGAGCCCGGTTCCGGTTGACCGGCCGGCTCCACGTTGAACCGCCCAAGTTTGGGAACATTAATGCTAACTTCAATTTTGTTTATGCTGAAAAGACAAAACTTTTAATTTACTCTAGCAATTATCAACATCACATGAATTATCACATCAAGAATTTACATTTGTTGCATAATGCGCTTGACATTGAAATACGTCCCAAGAGTTGCAATAGAAAAACCTATCATTAAAATCCCCATCACTATAACTTTCTCTATTCTGCCACTCTTTGTGCCCTCAAAGATCTTCAGGTAACAAATACATGGTAGAATTAGAGCAATGGTGCTGCCAAGAAATGATCCAATAAACGCCATCATGGACCCAAAAAATGGAAATATTAGAGCAACTATGACTGTGATAGCCACCATCATCGTCCTCAATGATAGACTCACTGCACACTTCTTGCAAAGAGGAAATATCTCTTCGATGGCAGCTGTGACAGGAGCCATGGCTAGTGCATATTTTGATAATGGAAGTATAACAACAACATAAATTGCAATCTTGGAACTAAAATATTTAACAGGGAGATTTAGAGTAATTTGCGATTTTATTTGGTCCCCAAACATTAGGTAACTGAATATCGACATCAGTGCATAAGCCACGACACAAGTGATGAAGGAAAAGGTCAGTACCTGCAACCAAAAAACACAAAAATTCCTGGATTAGGATCTTCTAAAATCCAGTTAATATATATCATGGACTGTGGTAGGATGGTTTCGAACACGAAACCTCATTGTGGCGACCATGAGAGCGACTACTGAAATGGACTTCAGGAGAAACAACAAAGTTTTGTAAATCTTTCTTCAACAAGAATTGTACATCACAATAGATGCCAAAGATAAGCCATTTTTCTGCATGAGTGAACTATGGCAGACTTGAGTATGGATAACGATAGAGACAACATGTATCGTACATAATAATATAATAATATATGAGTTTAGGGGACTGCCAAGGCCCAGGCCACGTACTTGAGCCACTAAGTTTAGTGGACTGCCAAGGCCCAAGCCTAAAAATCTAAGCATGGTAGGCCTAAAAATCTAAGCATGGTATTTGGGCCGGTCTGGGCACAGGAAAGGGGAATGGTGTTTGGGCCGGCCTGGGCACAGGACCATTTCTTTACTTTTCCTAATGAATGCCCAACCTGGGGCTACCATTTCTTTACTTATCCTAATGAATTAAGAAATAGATAAATAATACTCACTAAACCCAGCCTGGCTCAACCCCATCAATAGGCCTTGCATGGGTCCCGGCATGGCTCAACCCCATCAATAGGCCTTGCGTGGGTCCCGGCATGGCTCAACCCCATCAATAGGCCTTGCCTGGTCTAGCGTACGGCTCGCGTGAGCCATGGCCCAGCCTAAAGGGGGCTATTGCCACCCTTATATTCAAGGCATTGATAATTGATTTCAAGACAAAATTTATATACATACCTTTGAACCCTTGCTCCTATCTTTCATTGACCCAATGATGGTAGGGAGTACACCATGCCCAGTGAAACACAAAGCATAAATGCTAGCTGCCACTGGTATGCCACTTAAATTTAGAGGGCTTCCTTTCTCATGAATCCCAACCCCACCACATAGGCCAACCCATATAACTGCACCCATCACCACCACACAAGCAAAAACACCGGTTACTGACACATAGGCCAATCTCCCCAAGCTTTTTAGCCAAGTAGTAGGGAGAACAACCATGGCGGATAAAATAACAAATGCCTTGCTTCCTTCTATTCTCCATCCCCCAATTTTGTAGCCAAAGTTAGGGAACAATTTAGCTAAACTGTCACCTACTAATATCAAGAAACCTATGTCGAGTAAGAATAGTTGAAGATAGATAAATGTAGAGATGACGATTTTGCCTTTGGGACCAAAGGCAAGATGGCCTATGTCTGGATAGCATTTGATGTGAGGATCCATGCTTATGCAACGCTGAAGGAGTAGGCCTGTGTAATAGAAGATGATCCCCAATAGCACAAGAAGTGCCAAGCATGCCCAGCCACCTTGTGATAATGCATATGGAATTACTACGATCCCAACTCCTGTGGACCCAAAAAAGCGAAAAATTAGGAGAAGGAGAAAGTGAGAAATTAGGAGGAGAGCGAGAGAGTAGGGGTGTAAAGGGGTCGGGTTCTTGTTTGATTCCTAGTTGAACCCATACTGAATCCATACCTAGGTGGGGTCCAGGACATTGGACCTTGCCAGCATGGGTTTAAGTCTGATAAAAAATAAACTTTTATTTTATATATAAGGGTTATGTTAGGTTGATATATTACCCAATGAAAAAAAATATTTGGAATTAGGGATTCGAGACCTGAAAGAGCTCACACTATCAAGTAATCTATCATTGTACTGAACAAATTTTGGATATTTATATACCCCTGTTATGTACATAAAATTTCTAGTAAATATATTTTTGGTAATTAGGAGGGGTGCGATATGATCTACCTCGGGTTGTGACATCACCCGCATGGAGCATTAATGCCACTTATGTACTCCATGTAGGTGATATCACACCCCCTGTAGATGATGTCACATCCTTCCTAATGATAAAAAATGTCCTTATTAAAAAAAGATCAATGTACAAAACAAAGGTATATAAGTGTCCAGAATTTATTAAGTATAACTAAAAAATGCGTTGTAGTGTGAGTATCCTAATATAACCCATTAATATATTGATACACACTCTCAACCATGGAATTTTTTGTCCTTAGCCCTATAAGTAAGATCAGTATAGCTTTTCACACAAGAGTCTACACCATGGTCCAACCTGCTAGGTACAACCTCCGGGTCCTAGACCCGGTCTCCAGTCAGCTTGACCCATTGGGTTGAACCGACCTCCTTGCCAACCTTGACTAAGAGATATGCTAGGCACGGATGTGTCCACACAAAATACTATGTAGGAAAAATCATTGGATGATATGGGATAAGGATGATTTGTATACGCTTTTCACTAACTTTGATGGATAAATGCTCCCCAGAGGTCCTTACTGATATCTGATGTTTGGGGCGCAGGGGGAATAAAGTAATGGAAAAGCAATTGTCTACAAAGTAGGGTGGGATTCGACAAGTGAGGCAAAATACTCTCCAAAATTTTTGGCTGAGTCTATTAGGCCTAGTAATTGGGCCCCTGCCAAGGTGTTCTTAAACAAACTTGGATTTGTTCAAATTACTTAAAGAAAATAAAAAATTGCTAGCAAATCTAATAAATGTTATGCAATTATGTTTCTATATAATTTGCTCTTTTTTTTATGTTGATTTATGAAATTTTCTTTTTATATACTCTAATTTTCTTTTTTCTTTGGATTTGTCTGAACTGTTCTAAGCTATAAATCAAGTTTTTGTAATCTACTTCTTTCTGATAAGGGCCTTTAATGGTGTGTGTAACTTCTTTTCCTTTTTACTGATTTTTAATTATTTTGAGTAAGTTTTTTGCATTTTTTGGAACGCAGGAAAAGGCGAGTCCACTTGAACTTGCCCGAGCTACTCAACTCGGGCAGGGCCCGAGGCCTGAGCACAAGCCCAGCCATGTTTCTAAACATTAGATTTTTATATCATACAAATTTGTGCTATTTTTTGAATATCTTACTGTTTGTTAGCAACTCACATAGGTTTTAACATTGGAATGGTTTAGAGGTGCCCTTCCTATGCTCAAAGGACATCAAAAATAATTTTTTCTTGCAACCATGCGTTGTAGGCATCAGGAGTTGAAGGAGCAAACAAAGTGTAGAAAACCATGCTAGCACTGCATAAATTTCCTATATAAATGATATAAATAATTAATTCCAAAAGTATTAGACAGGGGGCAGCCCAATCTTTGGAGCATGATATAAGTGTTTCAACACTCATAATTCATTTTTCATTTTTAAAAATAATCGTGATTCTTAGATAGATCCAAAATTTCAAATAAAAATAAAAAAAATCTCCCAAGTAGCTCTTTTGCCCAAGGGAGTTAATGTAGTATGCTCCCGGCATGCTATACACACTAATAATTAATAGCCGGTAAAAATCTTTACACAATGTAGTTTCCAATCCTGCTGATACCACCGACTAACACCGTAAAAAAAAAACTAACTCTCTAATCGATATGAAAAAAA